CATGGCGGCGCGGGGGCCCCGAGCTCGGTCCGCGCGCGCGGGCGGCCGATGGAGGCGGATGGAGGCGGCGGCGGCACCGGCGCCCGCAAGATGGCGGCGGCTGAGGGGAGAAGGGCGCGCGCGCGCCGCCGCCCGCTATTTATAGGGCAGCGCGGGAGGCCACGCCCCCTCCCCGCGCGCGGGGCACGGCGGGAGTTGTRGTGCGGGGCCCTGGCGGTGGCGCTGCAGAGGGCGGCCATTTTGCGCGGCGGGCCTGGCCGGGGGGGCCACCATGGGGCAGTGGGGTTTCCGTGGGACAGGGGGCTCCATGGGGCAGGGGGAGCCATGGGGCAGTGGGGTTTCCGTGGGACAGGGGGCTCCATGGGGCAGGGGGAGCCATGGGGCAGTGGGGTTTCCGTGGGACAGGGGGATCTCCATGGGGCAAGGGGAGCCATGGGGCAGGGGAATCTCCATGGGGCAGGGGAATCTCTATGGAGCAGGAGGATCCATGGGGTACAGAGGTCTCCATGGGGCAGGGGGCATCATGCAACAGGAGGGCGCCATGGGGCAGGCTCTGCCCTCCCCACCCTCTGCGCCCCACATCAGACCCACCCCACATCCACAGCCCCCCCAAAGCAGCAGAGCCGTCTTTCTGTCCAAAGAGATGTCACTAGTCAATTTTATTTGGAAAAAGAGTCAGTTACAGAGCACTTCTCGGGAGCTTTCCGCTGGTCCAAGGTTTAACAGCTGGATTCTTGTCGCTTGTATCAAGAGGTACGTTTGTTTTTTGAAAGTAAAAATAGAAAATTAAATAAACCTTCAGCACGGCTTAGTGGTTTATAAATCTGTACTGTGGCCTGCAAGGTTCGCTCTGCCTCTCTTCTGTAGAAGGCGATCGACAACATATTGCTTATAAATGCTAAAATGTTCCGCGGCGGGAACAAGGGTTTTATGGGTTTTGTCTTTTTTTTTCCCTTAAGTTCATGGTTAACATTTAGGAGCTGCCTACACTAGAGCCTGGGGCCGGGGCCATCCCGGCGCTACCGCCTCGTCCTGCAGAGCTTGGAAGAGGAGGAGAGTTTGCAGAAACGGGGAGAAAAATCAAAAATGAAAATGAAAAAAAAATAATGAAAAGAAAAATGAAAATGAAAAAAATGAAAAAAAAATCACACTGTTTACTTTCTTTTATTGACTTGAGCTTTGGTAATATTTGCACGTTTTGGGTGTAGGTTTTAAAGCCCAGGTGTTGGCGAGGAAGCGCTGGGCCTGCAGAGCAGCTCAGGGCCTCTCCAAAAAGGGCAAATTCCCCAAATTTAGCGAGAGAAAAAGCGGAGCCGGACAGAGGATGTCGCAAAGAGGGAATCTCCACCTTCCAACGGGGTCAATCCGCTTCCCTAAGAGCCATGAACAGCCCCGGAGCGATGCCGGGAAGAGCGGAGCACGGGAGCGAGCCCCGCTGCTGCTCCCACGGCACATCCCAAAGCGGGGGGACATATGGAAACGTATAGAAATGAGCCCCGGGAAGGAGGAACCGCCCCGGCAGAGCAGGGAATTTAAGGAATTGCTGCCCGGGGTGGGAGCCGCTCGGCTCTCCTGCCCCTCCGCAGGTTTTGTGCGGGGAAGGGCTCCGATCCGCTGCTTCCATACGGACGCACCGGTCTATGGGCTCCTAGGGCACGTAAAATTTGCTGCAATTTTCCCAGTTTCAAACGTATGATGGRGAGGCGGCTCCTGCTCCACGAGCAGCCCCAGCGAGGACGGCGGCACCTCGCGCCGTCCCTCCTTCCCACAGAGCCGAGCACGGGGCGCTCGCTCGGGCTTAAATCGGCTTTTTTTGCTTGGTTTCCTTCCAAAAAATCTGTAAAGGGAGAAATTTAAAAAAAAAACCAAAAAAAGAGGAGGGAAAGGAGGAAGGCAGAGGAAGGCAGGCAGCTCTCTACGCCCCCTCTCTCCTTGGTTTTCACCTCTTGAGCGAGAACGAGCAGCACGAAAGGTTAGGAAGGGGGGACGGGGGCTAGCGGCGCTTCTCTGCTCTTCCTTCAAGCGGCTGCGGGACTTCTCCCTCGATGGCAAAGTCCAGAGGAGCCGGGTGTAGGCAGCGGGAGGTCCGGACTGACTGCTGTGTGGTCGCAAGCGCCAAAGAGCGCTCAATTATTTGGGATTTTTTCCTTTTTTTTTTTTTTTTTGGGCGGGGAAGAACAAAATAAAAAAAGGGGCGAGTGTGTGTGAACTGGGTGCTACATGGAGGGAGCTGGGGCTGCTCAGTCGCCAGCTTCGTTCTCCTCCGCCGTTTCTCCCGTGGTGGCGTTCTCTGCGTTCTTAGAGGCCTGTGGAGACAGAGCCACGTTGACCGTTCCGGTGGGGAATGGCCCCAAAACGCGGCCGAGGGGCACGCACGGCCGCAGGTGGGGCTGAGCCCCCCAGAAACCTCCGCCAAAGAGGCCCCTTCTGCACCGAGGAGGGGACAGCCCAAAACGTCACCGCGCAGCATCTGCCGACTGCCAGATACAAGGTGCCCTTAACCCTCACAAAAACACGCCCAAATTACCTTCTTTTTCTTCTTTTTCTGGGTCTTCCGGCTCGCGGAACTTTGTAGAAGCGCCTAGAGGCAGGAAGGAAGCGCCACAAGTCAGGAAATGCCCTCGTTTTGCCATGTAATCATTGGAAGTGCCTTTAAAGCGGAGCAGTCCCCGCGCGCCGCGACGGCCGACGCCGCGGCCTCGCGCCCTGCCGAGGTTTATGAAGCCCTGCGTCCTTTCCGAGCACCCAGAGCTTGTGTTTGAKGCAGAAAAGGAGGGCCCAGCCTGCTATAAAGCCCATTCCTGCTCACAATTAAAATAATTCAACTTACTGTTATTTAAATGGTGTTTTTTTTAAAAGAAACCAACCTTCAGCTCTCCATCCTGCACCTCGAACTCCGACTTGTAGAGCTCTGGTTCGAAGGGGCCGCTGGTTATCCTCATGGGACCGTTGGGCATTAAAAGCACTGTGAATTTGAACTGTGCAACAAACTCTCCTGCAAAGCAGAGCCCGGTGTCACGAGCGAGGCCTCCAGCCCCATCCCGACGCATCCCGCCCGCCAGGCGCTCGGACAGAGGCTCCCAAACGGAAGTTGTTTCGATTCCTGGGCCATTTTCAGAAAAACTCCCGCTAAAAATCATCCCGCGGAAACTTTTAACACGTCCTCCCGGGTACGGATGCGGCGATTCCCTAAGCTGCTTCCAACGCCRCTCTGGAAGCGGCCTGGAGCACTTCACCCCACGGACGCTCTCATCCCGACCCTGCAGCGATTCCCAGAGGGATCCAAAGGGATCCGAGGCCAGCGGGTTTCAGAGGATGACTCCCGCTCCTTGCGGGATGAATCCCAGCACCCTCGAAGCAAAGCCGACTGGACGTTTATTCCCCGGGAGTCACGGCGTGGGAAGCGCAGGAGCRACGGTGCCCGTGCCGCGCCGCCGGCGCTCACCTTCCTTCTCGTAGAGCACGTTGAAGGGCTGCAGCAGCTCGTGCTTGGCGCATTCCACCACCCCCATCCTGGCCTTCTTCTCATCCTCAAACGCCCTGCGGGGAGAAGGAGGCAAAGCCGAGCTCAGAGCCCAGCCTAGCGGCCACCTGCACGGCTCTAAGCKGCCTCTGCCATGAGGACAGATTTCGTTTGCCCGGCTCTATTATTTTGTGGGACAAAGCAGATGGCCAAAGCCATAAACATTAAAGCTCCATTTCCACCTTCAGAGAGTGGAAAAAGGCAAGAAAAGGGAGTTCAAGGCAAAAAAAGGCCTGTCAACGGAGCGTTGCTGCTTTATTGCGAGTGCACGGGACGCAAAAACTGCCTCCCTCTGTCTGCTGAGCGCTGACGCTGCTTTCCTTCCTCCTCCCTTTCACCCCGAGCACCACCAGGCTCCTCCCGAGGAGACTCGCCGGGATTCCTGCCTGAGCCCGTGCCCAGCTCTCCCCACCCATTCCAAGGTCCAAGGGCAGCAAATCCCAAGGGAGAGCAGGGCAGGCCGCCCGCAGCGCCGGGACGGAACAGCTCCGTGGGTTTTGCTGCCTCCGTGGGGTGTCAGCAAAGCGGCCAGGCCTGACCCCGGGGGAGGACGAGGCAGAGCCCGTACCTGAGTGTAAACGGCATCGTGTCAAAGCGCCTCTCCACCTCGCTGAAAAAGGCACGGGAGGTTTTCATCTTCAAGCCGTACTGTTTGGAGGGGTCCCTTTTGTAAATGGTAGTTCTCTGCCCGGCATCCTTTGCCTAAAACACGCAAATAAAGCTGGGATAGGGGACAAGCAGCACGGCCCGGCCACACGAGCCGACTGTGAACGTCCCGGCGGGCGACACCTCTGCACAGCACCCTGTGCTCCGACAGACACCGCCAAGCCTGGCTTTTCGGGGGGAAAAAGCTACACCCGGGGAGATGCAGCAAGACCCGGACAACAGCGGGCACCGGTACCCGCCGCGGGCACCGCGCTGTGCTCATGGCTGGTGGGAAAGGAGCCGCTCGCCGGGCAAGGGCAGCCGAGCAGCGCGGCGCTCACCTTCCCCTCTCCAGTGCTGACGAGGACATCGACGGCGTAAACTTCGTGGACCTCAAATTCTGCTTTTTCGTGGTCCTTCCTGGAGGGGAAAAAATCCAGCGAGTCAAGTGGAAAGACCTGCAAAGGCCCCTGGCACATTTAGCACCGTTTCCTAAGACTTAGGGCCCTGTCCTAGGCAGACCAAGGGTCCTGCTGCCCCCGGTGCAACACAGGACAGTGTCACTATGGCCTCAGAGGGACAGGAGCTGCTGGAACAGACCGACCCTTCCAGCTCAACAGCTCAACATCACCCTGAGGTGCTGCTCACAGTGATCTCCACCCATGCAAGGGGGTCCCGGCAGCTCCCGGGGGACATCCTGAGTGAATCCCGGGGAATTCGCTGCTACAACCAGCACCACTGGGTCATTTTGCTCGCAGCCTGCAAGGCCACGCGCTGTAATTCAGCGACGGAGACTCCTCCGAGGAACAGCACAGAAGCCAAGAGCACAGGCGCCAGCGCGGCGTTTGGGTGCCGGGACTTGCAGCCTTGCTCAGAACAAGCGCCGAACCCAAACCCACGTCCACGAAACAGGAGGGAAAATTGAGGGCTACGGATCTGCCTCGTGGATGGACCTGGATCTGCCAGATCCAACCTCAAGAGGAAGTCACGAAGGCAGCAGCTTTGGCCCAYGGTAAATTCCACCACACTGACAACAGCAGCCCCGGCGCCGTGCTCACTTTTGCTGGTCTGTAGGGTTCTGGATGATGGTTTTCTCTCCGTCGATCACATGCTGCTTCAGCTGGTGCGAGAGCATCCCTGCGGCGACAAGAGAACCGGTCAGCCCCTCGGGGCCGCGCACCAGCCCCGCGGCGACTCGCGCTGCCGGGAGCTCGGCCCCGCGGCGGGGACGGCAAAGCCAAGCGCTCCGGGGGCAGCGCTTCCTTCGGCCGGCCTTGCAAGAGCATTGGGGATCACACTGAACCCCCAGAWCCCGCTCCGGCTTCAGCAACTGCTTCATCTCCCACAAGGAGGAGGGAGCTTGAAGCAGAGCTGCAGGCAGCAGCAGAGCCCTTTTAATCCCGACCTTGCTCAGCAGAGCTCGAGGGTAGGCTAGGACAGACTGGAGGGGAGCCCACCAGTGCGAGCCCAGCACCCTCTATCTGCAAGGCTCTGCATTAACGTCCCTTTTCCCCCAGCTCCTACGCTCGGGGGCGTCACTGATTGCTGGGGTCCAAGCCCCCCATTCCTGGGTGTCCCTGGGGACGCCCAATGCCAAGTTAATGGAAACGCAGAGCTCCTGGGCTGCATTCCATGCGGTGGCCAAGGGAAAGCTGGGAGAACTTCAGTCCCTCGTCCTTCYGTCCTCACCTTGAAATTCAAGCCTGGGAAAAGGAACCCCCAGGCAGCATCCTTAAGGCTGGAAGGGACCTTTAGGGATGATCCAGTCCAAGCCCTGGCACACGCAGTACCGGTAACGGACTGCTTAAATGGACTGATAACCTGTAATGGACTGGTTCGATTGTGGATGAAAGAAGCACCTGACAAGTGTCGCCAGCTCTGACAAAACCTGCGTCAATCGAGCTCAAAATCTCTCGTRGCCTTTCCATCAAAAATCCAGGGGTCTCATTTCTAGGAAGGTCATCCCGGTGCCTTCCTCTCCTGCTATTGGTGTTACCAGGAAGATGCGAGTCAGCTYMACCATTAAACATCCCCAAATTCGGGCAGGGCAGGCTGGGATTTAGCGGGGAGCTGGAGCAGCAGCTGCTCTGAGGCCTCACCTTCGATGGGCGTGCAGTGAAACGAGTGGGCGATTTTGTTCCAGGCGTCTGTCACTTGCGTGTTCTGCAATGAAGAACACAGCAAAATACATTACGGACCCCAAATTCAAGCCAGAAGCACGGCCGCTTTTTATCTCGACTTCGTTCCGAGGGAAAAAAAAAAAAGACTGTTTTAAAAAGAGTAACTCTCAGTTAGAAAACTCAACACCTCCAGAAAAGGGACAGGAACGGTGACAAAAGGGAAGGCCACAGCCGGGGATCGGGAGGGAGGGACGCAAGCGGGAGAGCGCCYGTTTTCGGCAGCGTCTTTGCCATCTCGATCCCGGAACGCGGGGCTCGGAGCCGAGCTCGGCTTCTGCTCCTTCTCTTGCTGGCAGGTCTCACGCAGGGCCCGCCGGCACCTTCTGCGGGTTCGTCCTCCGGAGCGCTCAAACGGACACCCGGCCCCGTTACACCCTGCCGTTCCGGAGCAGATCCCGGTTTTGGTGGGTGGCCAAGGGGGAAGCCGGAGGGATGCATGGAGTTTTCTGCCAGGCACCACTGCGCTGGCAAAGCCCACGCGCTCCTTCCCGCGCGGGATGGGAATCCCGGGATAGCGTCGGGATGCTTCCCGACGTTCCGGGCTCAGCGGCAGCTTGCGGAGGATCCCAGCACGCGGGAGCACCGAGGCGTCGCTCCGCGGGCRGCGTCCCCCAAGGGCTCAGCCGGGGCCGGTGACAAAAGCCACGCGGCGCAGCGGCCCCCACGTTCCCGCACGGCTGGACGAGAGGGCACCGGYTTCCGTTTCCGCACGCCAAGTGACCCCGTGGCAAAGGCGGCGCCGGGGCTGGAGCCCGCGGACCAGCCCCTGGACACGCACGGCTGTCACCGTCACCCACTCACCTGGTTCCCAGGCTTCACCAAGCGCAGGGCGGCCTCGCCACAGAGGTGAGCGGCCTTGATGACATCGGCTTTGCGGCCTGACACCGGCTTTTCCTGCAAGAACAGATGAAAACGGGGTCTTGGAGACTCCACACAGACATTCCTACTCTCTTGTGCAGCCAGAAACACRGACTGGAGAGATTTCAATAAACAGATTGTTTTCCCCCGTTTTCATCCCGGCGGACACAGCCTTAGGAGCACAACCACTGCCAAGAGCAAAGCTGAGAGCCTCCTCCCAAGCCAGACGCCAAATTTACATGTTTTAAGTCGGTCTCAAGAGCAGAGCTTAGTGTCATTTACCGGGTGACTCGACTGGCGCGCTAACCGCAGCGCCGGGGGTGAACGACGCCACTCACACGGCTGGAGCGGGCGCGTCCGGGCGGAAAAACAGGCGGCAGAGCCGGGATTCGGGGCGAGGGAACAAACCCGGCCGGAGGCGGGACAGGGAAGCGGCTCCCGGAGCGGCGCTCGGATCGGGAGCTCGGAGCGGGCAGCAAAACCAGTCTGCCCAGTCCCCCCACGTCACCCTTGCAGGGCGCGTGACGCGCCGCGCTCGCTCCTTCCAACGCGCGGTGCCGCTGCTCGGACAGCGCGCCCGCCTCGGAGAAACGGGCCGCTTCGTCAGCTTTTTGCCACGTTTTTACCACCCKGAGGCTGTTTGCAGCAGCCTCCACTCCGCGGGACCCACCTTTGTGGCGTCGATGACAAAACTGTGGGCTACGTTCGCTATGAAGCCGTCCACGTGGACTCCCAAGTCGCTGCAACACAAAGGGAGTTAATTACAGGTGGGGCCTCCCAACCTGGAAAACCTGCGTGACTTCCAGGAGCATCAGAGGAGTCAGGGACGCTTCGAGGCTTCGCTAATGAGCCCGGCCTAAGTATTTAGCACACTAAGCAGTTCTAACGAGCGAAGCCACGACGCGGACGGCAAAACTCGCGTGAAATGTACCCAAGGTGCTCACATTTTGACCAAGTCTCCGTCTTTGAGGATGTAATCTTGGTCGCTCTTCAAGGGGGAGAAGTGACAGACACAGTTATTTACCGATATACTCGTCGGGAAGGCAATACCTATGAAAGGAAGAAGAGAGATCCCGTGAATCCCAGCCGTCGCTGCGGATTTGTCACCTACAGTTCAGCTTTTTAAACGAAGGGTCCCATTTCCTAAGTTTCTAGCCAAAAAATTCACAAGGAATCCGGCTCCTGCCCTCACCTGCTTTTGCCCAGGCAAGGAATTATCATCAAAGAGCCACCCCCGAGCAAGTGAGACATCAAAAGGGACCTCAAGTCTCCAGAGCACAAAATGAGCACGCGCGGTGACACGTCCGAGTGTCACGCGATTCCCGTGGCAACTACAGGCGAACTACAGGCGAACAGCACGTCTTCCTGACGCAGGGACGCTGTTGGCCAGAGCCCCACGTCAACCCGAACTCCCTGGAAAAGCAACCCGGGAAGCTCAGGCTGATCCGGGGCGCTTATGAACGGGGAAAACGGGACGATTTGGGTCAAAACTGCCCCCTCAGGAGGTAGTTTTGACGGTAAAGGATTTCGTAAAGGATTCTTAAAGGATTCCTTCAGATGTTGGGCACAAAATTGTGCTTTTTCACGCCCTCGTGGCCACGAGGGACAACCGCCGCGCCGAGGACGTTTCTCACCTTTCTTCATTTCTTTCTCCTTCTTGAAAATCTTGCCGGTCTCCTCCATGATCATGGCATCGCCCTTCTCGCACAGGCAGAGCACCGACGCGCCGCAGGCGGCCGCGTCCACCACCGCACGCAGGACCCCTGCAACGGAGCGCGAGGGCGTCAACGAGAACCCCCCAAAAACCACCCCACGCACCCCAAAACCACCCCGAGCACCCCAAAAACCACCTCAAACACCCCAAAACCACCCCAAAACCACCTCAAACACCCCAAAGCCACCCCAAAACCACCCCAAA